TTCCAAGTGAGGTGGTGCAGGCTCCCACCCTGGGGGTTTTTAAGAGGAGGTTGGATGACCACCTTACTGGGGTCATTTGACCCCAGTGCTCTTCCTGCCATGGCAGGGGGTCGGACTAGATGATCTTCTCAGGTCCCTTCTGACCCTAGAAACTATGAAACTATGCTTGTACAGAGAGTGAATTTGTCATGTGCTAAATGCTGCTGTCTGCCTTGGAATCCTCTCAACTCCTCAGAGCTCTGCAATTTGTTTCCCATTGGATGTAATACTACAATATGACAATGGGTTTGTGCTCAAATTAAGTCTAAAAAAACCCAGGGGGATTCCTTCTCCATAATCCAGGAATGTAGAAAGTGCTCTTACTGGGTTAAAGTGAAGGTCCAACTAGCCCAGCATCCTGCCTGTGACAGGAGCTGGAACTGGCTCCTTCAGAAAATGGGGTAAAATCTCTTGTGGCATACAGATGTTTGGGAATCTTTTGCACCCTTGGTTTTATCTGGTTTCTCATACTTAAGTGTTAACTGAAGTTCTAAAGCATAAGGATTAATATCCTTTCCATGCCTTTTGTCATCACTAACTGTGCTACAGAAAGGTTCCATGGTGCGCTCTCACTCTTCACCACAGCTGCCCTGTACAGACCTATCTGAACTGACTCATTTAATAAATCCTGTCTGAATTCATTTAATGAGCAGAACTGACTTGTTTAATGACCTGAACTGACCTATCTAGACTGACTTATTTAATGAGCATGCTGAGTACCATCAGGCAACACAAGATGGTACTTGTTATCCCTGTGCAAGCTCAACTGAGTTTGTATGTGCAACTCACTGGAGGGTCTGATTGTTGCACTTTGGACTCCTCAGACACTCAGGAAGCTTCTGTACTATACTACATTGATGCTGCTGCTACTGTTCAGGCCATGTTAGTAACATCAACCTCAGTGCTGTAGTGGTACCTGATAACCCACCAAAGGCACAAACTCTTTGGTCTCCAAAACCAATGGTTGCCAAAGAAGATGCCTTTTGTCATTGCTAACTGTGCTACAGGTAGGTCTGTACAGGGCAGCTGAAGTAAAGTGTGAGACAGCACCATGGACCTGTCTGAACTGAATCATTTAATGAGCCTTCCTTTTTTCAGAATTGTGATCCAAACCTTTGTCTCTTTTTGGGAAAGTTCCTATTAAACTAGTTGAGAATTATGACTAAGAACTTCCAGGATTGGCCCCTTTATTTCCTTTATGCTCCTAATTGTATCTTTCATGCTTTGCATCATTTTTTTTTATTGAAGGAAACACAAACATTATTTAAAACTCAACAGACAAACTGGTGATTCCCTCCTGTGAGGAGCAACACTGGTGCTTAGCACCTGGATCTTCTTACTCACCTAGTGCTAGATGGAGTTCCTGAGTGCCTACAGAGAAATCACAGCCTCTGGGATGAAGGTCTCTTGTGTATTAGCACTGGGAGAATGACCTGCTAATGTCTGAAATGATAAGGATTCATTATTAATTAGTGGGCCAGAAGCAAAGATATTCCTAGTTTGGCACTTACAGAGATGCATTTAACTTTAGGTTATTCTCCCTTCATATTAACTAGTTAATCACATCATAAATATTGACCTTGCCACATGCTCATGCAATTAATGGTACAGTAAAATCGGGAATAAGCCACAAAATTATTTCACAAAATATGTGGAATGATTTTGTAACTGGTTTCCATTCCACCTTAATTTTGAATGTGTGGCCAGCGCACTAGGACCGCACTGCACTGGGACTGCACTGTTTCAGGATCTGGTAAAGTCCTAGGGCTGGGACTGCCAATCATGTGATCCCGGGCTCCCCCAGTCATAGAATCATAGAAAATTAGGGTTGGAAGGGACCTCAGGAGATCATCTAGTCCAACCCCATGCTCAAGGCAGGACCATCCCCAACTAGATTATCCCAACCAAAGCTTTGTCTAGCTGGGTCTTGAAAACCTCCAAGGATGGAGATTGCACCACCTCTCTGGGTAACCTGTTCCAGTGTTTTACTACCCTCCTAGTGAGAAAATTCTTCCTAATATCTAACCTAAACTTCCCTTGCTGCAACTTGAGACCATTGCTCCTGGTTCTGTCATCTGCCACCACTGAGAACAGTCTAGCTCCGTCCTCTTTTAGGTAGTTGAAGGTTGCTATTAAATCCCCTCTCAGTCTCCTCTTTAGACTAAATAAGCCCAGTTCCCTCAGTTTTTCTTCATAAGTCATGTCCCCCAACCCCCTCACATTTTTGTTGCCCTCTGCTGGACCCTCCCCAA